TCTCACAACTATATGAAACAAGCATGGAATTTGCCGTTACTGCTTTTTGGCATGAATTACCTTGATTGTATAGATGAATAATAACTCAAGAGTTTATACACCCTGTATGTACGAGAGCTAGGATTTGAACTTTGGCTGATTCCCAAGCTTCATGTTGTACTTAAAAGAATGAGCAGACTTAGTCTGGCAAGGGTATGAGTCTGAGGGGGGTAGGGGGTGAGGACTGGAAAGTAAGCCTTCCCAGGAAAGGCAGTAATGTGAGCAAAGGTGAGAAAACACTGTGCAAAGGTACAGATCATAGAAGGAAATTAATCACACTGGGTCTCAGTTTCCTCACAAATTACATAAAGGAATAAGGAAGACAATTAGCATTTGTTAGGCCCTTCAGTGTGGAAACACTTTGCCAGTTGCTTTCCTTATGTAATTTCATGAATCCTCATATTGTATCCTCATAGCAACAGGATTCCATTTTATAGATGTAATGGCTTTGCTCTACCAGATCTTTCTACAACACTGACTTCATGGTTCCCTAAGTGAGATTACATATGTCATTTGCAGCCCTAGAACTGCTGCATGCTCAAGAAATGTTAATTCCCCCTCTCCTTTTAGCTACTCCTATTTCCTAGAAATTAATACACTAAACTAGTCTAGTCTAGACATGGAACTCAGATATCTGTAAAAAAAAAACACATAATATTACCATTTGACCCAGGAATTCCACTCCTAGGAATTTACCCTAAGAATGCAGCAGCCCAGTTTGAAAAAGACAGATGCACCCCTATGTTTATCACAGCACTATTTACAATAGCCAAGAAATGGAAGCAACCTAAGTGTCCATCGGTAGATGAATGGATAAAGAAGATGTGGTACATATACACAATGGAATATTATTCAGCTATAAGAAGAAAACAAATCCTACCATTTGCAACAACATGCATGGATGGAGGTAGAGGGTATTATGCTCAGTGAAATAAGCCAGGCAGAGACAGACAAGTATCAAATGATTTCATTCATCAGTGGAGTATAAGAACAAAGCAAAAACTGAAGGAACAAAACAGCAGCAGACTCACAGAACCCAAGAATGGACTGACAGTTACCAAAAGGAAAGGGACTGGGGAGGATGGGTGGGAAGGGAGGGAGAAGGGGAAAAGGGGGCATTACGATTATCACACATAATGTGGGTGGGGGTCACAGGAAAGGCAGTACAACACAGAGAAGACAAGTAGTGCTTCTATAGTATCTTCCTACACTGATGGACAGTGACTGTAATGGGGTTTGTGGGGGGGACTTGATAATGGGGGGAAATCTAGTAACCACAATGTTGCTCATGTAAGTGTATATTAATGATACCAAAAGAAAAAAAAACACATAATAAGGTCTTAATCCTGGAAAACTGCTCCCTCCTCAAGCCATACCACACCTTCTATTGATACTTTCTTAATTGTCATTAGAGAGAGGACAAAATGGTAGCAAGTACAGTTAGAAAGCAGAAGGCTTTCTATAGTTTTACATTTTAAATACATACTTAAGTATATACTTTGTTCATACTGTTGACAGACATTTGGGTTGTTTCTAGTTTTTAGCTATTACAAATAAAACTATGAACATTCATGTACAAGAGCTTGAATGGACATACGCTTTCGTTTCTTTAGGGAAAATCCTGGGAGTGAAAAGGCTGAATGCAGAGTAGGTATATGCTTAACATTTTATGAAACATAAGCTGTTTTCTGACATGATTCTACCATTTTATATTCCTACTAGCAGTGTCTGAGAGTTCTAGTTGCTCCATAATGTCAACATATGATTAGTCAATTTAGACATCTATTGGGTGTGTAGTGTTATCTCTTTGCAGTTTTAATTTACATTTCCCTAATAACTAATAATGTGGTGTATCTTTTCATGTGCTTATCTACCATTCACATATCTTCTCTAGAAAAGTGTTCAAATGTTTTACCCATGTTTTGAGCTGTTTATCTTTTTATTATTAAGTTGTAAGAGGTCTTTATATATTTGAGATAAGGTCCTTTCACATATATATGTTTTGCCAGTATTTTTCTGAGTCTGTGACTGGCCTTTTTCGCTTTTGTCATAGTGTCTTTTGAAAAGCAAATGTTTTTAATTTAGATGAAGTTCAATTTGTTGATTTTTCCTTCATAGTCTGTGCTTTTTGTGTCCCACTTACAAACTCTTTGCTAAAACACAGGTCACTGAGATAGTCTCCTCTTTTAGAAGTTATATAGTTTAACTCTTACAGTTTGACCTGCAATCCACTGAAAGTTAATTTTTGTATATGGTGTGAGGTAATAATAGGGGTTCATTTTTGTGCATATGGACATCCAATTGCTCCACCCACACTTCTTGAAAAGATTATTCTTCCCATATTGAACTACCTTGGAATCTTTGTCAAAACTCAATTGACTATAGCCTCAACAAACAAAAAGCAAATAACCCGATAAAAAAATGGGCAGAGGATATGAAGAGTATGAAGAGACAGGTCTCCAAAGAAGAAATCCAGGTGGCCAGCAGACACATGAAAAGCTGCTCCACATCACTAATCACCAGGGAAATGCAAATTAAAACCACAATGACATATCACCTCACACCAGTAAGGATGGCCAGTATCGAAAAGACTAAGAATAACAAATGCTGGCAGGGATGCAGACAAAGGGGAACCCTCCTACACTGCTGGTGGGAATGTAAGCTAGTTCAACCGTTGTGGAAAGCAATAGGGAGGTTCCTCAAAAAACTAAAAATAGAAATACCATTTGACCCCAGAATCCCACTCCTTAGAATTTACCCAAAGAATACAATTTCTCAGACTCAAAAAGACATATGCATCCCTATGTTTATCGCAGCACAATTTACAATAGCCAAGATATGGAAACAACCTAAGTGTCCATCAGTAGATGAATGGATAAAGAAGAGGTGGTACATATACACAATGGAATACTATTCAGCCATAAGAAAGAAACAAATCCTACTATTTGCAACAACATGGATGGAGCTGGAGGACATTATGCTCAGTGAAATAAGCCAGGCAGAGAAAGACAAGTGCCAGATGATTTCCCTCATTTGTGGAGTATAACAACGAAGCCAAACCAAAGGAACAAAATAGCAGCAGACTCACAGACTCTAAGAAGGGACTAATGGTTGCCAAAGGGGAGGGGTGTGGGAGGGCAGGTGGGGAGGGAGGGAGAGGGGGATTGAGGGTATTATGTTTAGTACACATGGTGTCAGGGGTCAGGGCGAGAACAGTGTAGCACAGAGAAGGCAAACAGTTGCATCTTACACTGATGGACAGTGACTGCACTGGGGTATGGGTGGGGACTTGATAATAGGGGTGAATGTAGTAACCACATTGTTTTTTCATGTGAAACCTTCATAAGAGTATATATCAATAATACCTTAATAAAATATTTAAGTAAATAAATAAAAATTGAAAAAATTTTTAAATGGTAAAAAAAACCTCAATTGACTATATATGCATGTGTCTACTTCTGAATTCTTCTTTCTGTTTTATTTGATCTTTTATGTTAAATTTCTCAACAGTACAACATTCTATTGATTATTATAACTTTATAATCAAACTTAAAATCAGGAAATATAAGTTTCCCAGCTTCATTTTTCTTATTCAAAGTTGTTTCGGTTCTTCTCGGTCCTTTGCACTTTCATATAAATTTTAGACACAATTTATCAATTCTACAAAAAAGACTGCTGGGATTGTCAATGAATGGCTTTGAAACTATAGATCAACTAAAGCAAAACTGACACAGTATCAACACTGACAGTGATGGTGGTTGCCTAACAATGTGAATGTACTTAAATTTGCACACTTTTAATTTAAATGGTAAATTTCATGTACATTTTACAATTCTAAAGCTTTATTTTAAAAAACTATTTTAAAATTTGGAATCTACTATCTAATACATAGCAGCCCCATTGCACTCCACTCCTCGGCCCTCCTTACACCTGTCACTGTTAGCACACTGCCACTGAAGGAACATGGTCAAAAACACTGTTTTCCTTTTTTCTTTCCTCTGGCTTTTTCCTCTTTTTTTTTTTTAATAAACTTTATTGAGATAAATAATTAATACACTATAAAATGCAGCCACTTTAATGGAAAGTTTGATTTTTGATAAATACATATACCCATGTATCTACTAACACAATCAAGACAGAACATTTCCATCACAACAAAAAGTTCCCTCATGTCTCTGATGTTCATCTCTCCCTAGACCCTCACGGATACACAGGCAACCCCTAACCTACTTTCTGTCACTAGATCCACTGTTGTTTTCTCTATAGTTTTATATAAATGGAAACAGTTTGTACTGTTTTGTTTCAAGTTTTCATCAAGCATAAATATTTCTGAGATTCATCAAAATTACATGTATCAGTAGCCTCATTTTTATTGCTGAGTAGGATTTGACTGTATGGATATATTACAATTTGTCTATCTTTTTGTGTGTTAGAGAACATTTTGGTCATTTCTACTAAATATGTAGCTGCTTTAAACATTCGTATCTGAGTCTATAAGAATATATGGGTCCTCATTTACCTAAGGGTGGTATGGTCATACAGCAAGTGTATATGTATTACTTTAATAAAAGAAACTAGAGTTTCTTCTACAGTCAAACTCATATCCAGCCAGTGAGTCACGGCTTTGGGCCTGCCATAACCATGCACGATCTAGGCCAGTGGGCAGACAGTGACAGTGGGGCTGAGTACGTTCAAGCTGGGGCTCTGGCCTGGGCTAACTAGGTGACTATGCCTATCACAATCCCAGGTAACAGGTGTGCCACAGAAAAAAAAAAAAAAAAAAAAAGAAGGTGGGAACTTATTGCTCCAGTCATCAAACTAAATAGTCAAAGACTTGTAGTAAAAATTAAATCTAGCATTAAATTTTAAATGGCTTTTACACCAAAACACAAAAGAGGATGCAATAACTTTCAGATTTCAGCTAAAATTCAAAATGTAACAACTAGCAAGCAGTATCTTACCTCTATGCATAATCTTGTGCTTCTCTCTCAGATATGTCAGGCCCTTTATTACCTAGAGGAAAGAGAATGTAAAAAGATGGGAAACAGATACCAGTGTTTAGAAAATACTCAACTCTCTATTTTAAAATGATCTAGAAAATTTATCATCTAACATCACAAATTTAACTTCTTCCCTTATTTGATTTTTTGAAACCTTCCTTATCATCAAGAAACCATCTTTTTACAGTGTGTACAGACTATTATTTTTAAACAAAATTGATTATACAAGTTTAGATAACATTTTGAATTCATTTTTTTCTAAATCTGCAATCTTAAGAGAGGTTTTCTGATGCCACAAATGGGAATTCTTTTGGATACCCTGTCCTATTCTCAAGACACAGATTTTAATACAGAGAAAGTCACTTTTCTCGTTCTAGTGTTCACATGAGAATATTGTATCTAGAATCTAAACAGGAAAATTCTAGTGAGAAAACCCCACTTTTCTTACAAACTTTCCCTTCACTGACTTCTTTACCTTCCTTCTTTGTCCATTCCCTACCAACTTATTAGCTTATCAATCAGGGACATGGAAGAAAAACTGCATGATATACTCACAGCAATGCTAACTTTTCCTAAAATTTGTTCAGGAATTCTTCCAGCTTTCTTCAGAACCTGATCCAATGAACCCCCATCCTAAGAAGGAGAAAACCAGCACATTAGTGACAATGTGTCTAACTGCTCTTTCAAATGTTAAACTTCAGTGGGAAAGTGCATCTTACACATGGCAAGTAGAAGGGATCTTCCGGTTTGTTCCAGACATCAAATAAGACATGAATGCAAAATACTGTGGGAGGCTTCGAATAACTAGTAAATCAAATCTTATGAATAATCATTAAACAATTTACTAATTCAGTGGTCAGAAGGTTTGTTCTGGACTGACAGTACAGTTAGGAGTACAGGCTCCAAGGCAGACTATCTGAATTTGCATCCTAACTTTGCCACTCACTATTTAGGGTACTTTGACCAAGTTACTCAACTTGTAAGGTGGGGATGATAATAATTATAAGGCCATTATAATAATCATAGGGCTCTTATAAGTATTAAATAAGCTGACTGATACACATAAAGCACTCGGAACAATGTCTAGCCCATAGTATGTGCTCAATAAATGTTCGCCATTTTATCACCAACATATAAATCACCACTTGCATCTGGTATTATCCTAACAAATCACATTTAAGAAATCCAAAAAAGAAATGTCATAGAAAGTAGTAATTCATTCCACAAATCCTACCATGTGCTATGGATTGTGTTGGGTTCTATGTGGGGGGTGGATACGAAAAAGACGTAGTTCCTGTCAATAAATTTACAAACTAATAGGAGAAATATACAACGCTTGATAAGATATAACAAAACAGAATAAATGTGTAAGTGCTGTAAACATACAGAAGAAGGGAGAAGTAATTCTAACTTTACTTGAAAGACGTCATTTAAGCTGAAATCTTACTCAAAGAATGAGCATAATTTCTATACCTGGGAAAGAGGAGAAGCAGGGCAGGATATGAACTGGGTATTTTAACAAGATCAAAAGCAGAGAAGCATTCGGTGCCCCTGGGATGCCGTTTCATTACGGGTCCATGAAGAAACGCAGTTATGGATCAGGCTGGAAATGACTGTCTGTGGCCAGATCACGGAGCCCCACCAAGGAACCAAGACTTGACCTTATGGAGACAGAAGGAAAGGAACCCAACCTGGGTGTTTTAAGATGAAAACCACAGCAGCTGAGAGAAAGAGGCAGGGGAGATCAGGGAGGAGCCGATCAGGGTGGGATGACATGAGCCTGACCCTGGGCAGAGGCGGAGAGGAGCGCACACGAGACAGTACAAGTGCAGTATGAGGCCAGCCTCTGCAGGGCTCACATGCTGAGCCTTCCCATTCATGGATTCTACATTTTAACCTGAGATCTTGAAGGAATGAATCACTCCAGGAAGCCTGATGGTATCGAGGTAGAAATAGGTTCACACCTCTATGGCTTCAGGTACAGCCAATTACCACCTGCAATTAAAAATTACCCTCAGAAGCAGAATTTCTACAAACTCAGACTGACTTTCTCAGGTATCCTGTCTACACTGAGCAGTTACCTTCTTCACCCATCATGTATTAATCACCTCTGTGTAAGGAATAGGGATATGTAAAGAACTAGGGATGGAAAAAACTACAAATACAGGAAAAAACACACTACTTGGAGAGACAGAACATATTCATAAAGAGGCAAGGCACCTTAAATCCTCCTCTTAAATACAGCAGGGAACAAACAGCTGAATGAAGAAAAAAGACATTGCCACGGGTACTCAGAGGATAAAATGATTCCAGGACAAAACGCCAAAGGAAGGGCTCGCAACGGAAGCTGAGCCCTGGAGGTGGGCAAGACCCAGGTAAGCAGAGACATCCTGTTTCCAAAAACTACCCAGCCTCTTTGATGCAGCCATGGAACATAAAGTCACAGAACAATGCATAACGTGATAAAAGAAGAACAGAGCATAATACCATTTTTATGAAAACAAAAAAGTATATACTCATACAAAATCAGAACACCAAAAATGTTATCAATGGTTACTTCCAGCAACATGGTAAGGTTATCAGGGGTTTTTGTTGAATGATCTCCTCTTTGTGCTTTTGCTTACAAATTTTCTACGATGAATGTTTTCCCTTTTTAAATTATTGAACTCATTTATGAAAGTGAAGAAGTAAATCTATAAATCAATTAACAGATACTGAGCACCCATTCTGTGCAAAGGCACTGTTAGATAACACTGCCTTCTTTCTAAAGGTGATGAAAAAATAAGACTCATTTAGGGATACAGATCTCTCATAAAATATTACCTAAAACAATACTAAAAGTATATTAGCAACTTAAAAATTCTGTGCTTACAAAAGGATAGTTGGACCAATTACTTTCTGTCAGTGTCAACTCTGGATCACAGATGCTAACAGAATAAGAAAGTGGTACAGGTATGTGTTCTCAAATGCACACAAACACCCTTGAATGTGTTTGACTTCAAATCATAATAAATTCCCTAGCACAACTACCTAATGGTGGACAGTCACAGTCAACCAAGGAGCACAGCAGAGGGTTCCAAAATTCAACCTGAAATTTCAAATGTGCCATAATCTCCACACAGATATGAGAGTGTCATTATTAATCTAGAACCAAACAGAATTCTGTAAACACACTTATTTTCCAGAGCCCTTAGAAATGCCCCACCCAGGCTGTGACCCAGTATCTTGCCAATGGGTTTCAGCCCTGAGCAAGTTCACTATGGATTCAATGTGACCAAAGAAATGACAGTAGAACGTTCTTGGGGTGAAAGGGTTATACCCAACTTTATTTCTACAGTGGCAGGTCAGTCACTAAAATCTCATCCATTCAGAGCAAGTCTGCATGCAGCAAGCCAGTCTCTGCCTCTGAGCCTCTCTGCCTGCACACCCGTCCTCTGGGCCTGTCTTCAGCGCTGCCACCACTTCAGCCTCTGCTCTGCTCTCCTGCAGCCTTGCAGCCTTGCAGCCCTGCCACCATGTCGCTCAGAGCACTGGGCGGAGCTCTTTATATAGAGTCAATAACAACGTATTGCCCACATGTGTGCAGTGAGCTAGCCGACCAGGGCCAGGTGAGAATCCTGGCCACAGAAACCTTCATTTTATCCACACCCAGGCTAAGGTTTGGCTTATCCTCTGAGCCTTGCTGCCTGCACTATGCCACAGGACCCTGGTGGCCAAATCGGGACAGCACCACAGCCCAGGTAGCCACACCCAAGTCAGCAGTCTCCTACAAACGCCCTAACACCTCTCAATTTCCTTTACCAATGGGAAGTGGGACTCCAGTGCAGGAAGATTCTGATCAATTTCCATTTTGCTTCCAATTGAATGTGGTTTCAGATCCTTTGCTTCGATGGCTTTGCCTAATTATCAGGGAGGACTATACAATTAAAACTAGGTAACAAAGGCAAAATCTGATCAAATGAGGTAAGTAAGCCAGCCCTGTGGTTGTCAGGTTCCACAGCCTAGAAGAAAGAACAGCTCAGCTGTCCTGGTTTACACTTTCCCTGGAACCTTTCATAAATATTTCTATTAAAAAAGGAAGAAATCTCTACCCTTTAACCTCCTTCTGAGCTATAAGCAGAGTTATAATGTGAACAATGGAATTAGCAAGATTTAAGAAGCACGAACCACAGTTCGGATTGCCCAGAGTTGCCTGCAACTCACCTTACAACCTTTTAATTCTATTTCACTGTTGCCAAGGACTTGCCTTCAATGACTAAAACTGCTAAAATTATGCTTATTTTTAGAAGGCAATTATTAACTAAGTCAGTGGTGTTTTTGTGAAGGTTTTCTACAGAAGAGAAAAATGTTTTATGAAAAAAAAAAACAAGAGCTCAAAAGCTTTTACTCCTGCATAAGAACCATCAACCCTGAGTTCCCAGTTCTCTGGTTGCTCAGCTACCACCTGAGCAGGAATCTACCTCCCCCAAGGCAGCAGCACTCCTCTTCCAATCCGGGAGCATCCATTTACCCCTTGGTCTCAGAATTCAGACTGGGCAAACAGAGCTTATTTCTAAGAAAGGTCAGTCCCTGGCTCAGTGCTTTAGAAGACAGGGCTTAATAAATGCTAACTGACACAAATTTACTTTAAAATGCATTCAAAAAATGATTTGAGCAATGGATAGATGGACATTATGTGGAAAAGCAAATGTGGCAAATGATAATTGTAGAATGGAGGTGGTGGGTTTAGAATGTACATTACAGAATTCCTTCAACTTTCCATATGAAAAGTTTCATAGTAAAGTGTTAGGGGAAAATGTCAATGAAGATCATGCAAAGACCCTAACAGGGAGGACCAGAGGCCCTCAGAAGGTGGGATAACAGTAATGAACAGAGCTCTACATGACAACACCTTTGAAACGTGCAAGCTGAGGCAAAGGCGAAATCCCCAAAGGAAGTGGCAGCCAAGAGTCAGTTTTCCCATCGGGGGCAGCCAGAGGAGCAAGTCCTGGCAGGAGGGCCTCCTCAGGGACCAAGGGAGGGGTGAGAGTGTCTAGGGCTGAAGCAAAAGGCTACGGTGAGACATGGCTGCTTGGGCTTCAGGCCACAGCTGCTTCACTACAGGGTCCCATCTCTGGTAATAACTCTGAACCTCTCCACTAGTGTTAACAGACTGTTCCCAGCTGCTCTCTGGGCCTATGTGTACCCAGGAACAGAAGGGCCTACTGCCGACTCCAGGGCCTACCTCTCTCCTGCTGAGCCCCAGGCCTGACCATTCGCCCCTTGGCCCCCCGTCCTGGCCTCCTTCATTCAGTCACTCAATACATATCACCTAAGAGGTACCAGACACTGTGGCTTGGCCCTCAAAAGATTTTGATCCTTCCAGTCTTTGACAGTCAGTTTTCCAGACTCAGATTCCCCAGGACAGCTCCACAATTCAGGCACTTGTATGGAAGGACCCCACTATTCCCAGAAAGCCAAATCCATGGGAAGAAATATTGACCTGCAGATACTGGAAATGGACCAAGAGAATGGAAAGCCAACCCTTGTTCTGTCCTGTGTCTCCTCTTGGAGAGGAAGGCTGGGTGGGAAGGACAGGGCAAGGGGCACAAAGGTTGTGATCAATATCCATGAATCCAGAGTGAATAAAGAAGGATTCCAGAATGAGGAAGCCTCAAAACAGGTCAATAAAAAGGTCAAGACAAATAAAAAACTGAACTCCACCTAGCAAGAGGCCACATAGGTTAACAGAAGAGGTTCCAGCAAGTTCTGAATAAATGAATAGGCCACTGCCTGTCAATGTTTGGGGCCTAATCCTAACATCTAAAGCAAGGCTCTTAGAGGTCCAACACACTCACCCTGCAATGGCCTCCTGGTTTCTCTATTAAAGGGAGAACTCCAGGTGGCAGAGAACTTGGAGGTAACTTAGGAAAGAATTTCTGATGGTTCAGAAGACAGCAAGCATGAGATGACACATATCTGGTGCTCAGAAACGCTTATGTCCACACTGACACTCCTCACTTGAGAAGGGCCTAGAACACAGCCATCCAGCCTGTGAACAGCTCTGGGGGCGGAGATGCTGCTGTCAATGTCTCCATCCCCTCAGCAGCTTGTGTGGCACACTGCACGTAATAGGAACTAAAAACAAGTACTTGTGAAGCTTAACCCATGTTGATGAACTAATGTAAACCATAACTGGCTACAAGTGCCAGAAACCATAGAAATGCAGGATGTCCGTGTGGGGAAGGGTCCTGGAGAGGATGTGGTCTGAATATTTCTCTGCAGAGATGAGAAAATCCTGTGACAGTGTATGGCCTGCATAGTTTAATGGAAAGAATATGAACTGTAAAGAGAGCTAAGTTGGTTAGGGATGCAGGTTAGAGATCAGCTCTAACACATAATTGGTTATGTGACTTGGTCTGATTACTAAACCTCTCAAGGCGTTCCTGTCTCCATCAGCTGGGGGTGGGACTGTCAACAATCCATCTCACGTGACAGGGCTAATGAATAACTTAAGAATGTGAAAAGGACCTGGCAAGTGGTGGCAGATGTGAAAGCTAGTTATGTCTAGCCATGCCGCCACCCACCGTCTATGATTCTGGCAAGACCGCAAGGAAAGAAGGCTATTCGGGCCTTTCCTGTCACTGGTTTACCACCATCACTTCCACCCTGTTCCTCTCCTAGTTTTCAAGGACCTCCACTGCCATTTACACATTCTCACCCAAAATTCTTGGGCCTGAGCTGCAAAACCAACCAAACCGTCATCAGCACAAAGAGCACAAGGTACCCAAAGGATAAGGAGCAGCCCACTCATCCCACCCTACCCTGCACAGGGGAGACCAGGGAGCAGCTGGAAATAATCAGCACCCCTGGCCTTGCTGAAGCAAGAAGGAATGAGAGCTTTCTCTGTGACCTTCAGAAGCGCGGAAGACATTTTCAGGCTCTACTTCCATCTGGCACCACAGAAGTCAGCAGATGCCTGCGACACTCTACACGGCATTTCTTGATCATTCAAATGAAGAGATGCTCAAAATAATGGGGCACCAGCAAGGACATATTTCCCAGGGAGGGTTCTTCCAGAGTCCATGAAGACCAGGCACTGGGCTCTCATTCCAGAGGTCAGGGCAGGAACGGAAAATCAGGAAGGAAGTGGAGCGGCTGCTGAGGGACACTATGCGGGATCAAAGGCACAGCAGCCACGAGGTCTGCAGACTCAGTCGCAGTCAGCCCTCATCTCTGAACTGTCGGCCCCAGGGAGAACAAGGCAGAAGCTAATGTTTGCAGGAGCCGCTCTGAGTCAGTGTGCTGGAAGACTCACGGCTGTTACTGTGTAATTCTCACTACCACAAGTCAGGCATAATAATGCCCATTTTATAGACGAGGAAACTGAGAATAAGATAAAGAAACTTGCCCAAGGTCATGAAGAGATGAAGAGACGGTGACAATCTGTAGACAAGTAATTACAGAGCACCTGCTGTGTGCCAGGACTATTCTGGGCTTTGGAGACACCATAGCAAACAAGACAAAGTGTCTGCTTGGATTTTTGTGGAGAAGGGAGATAAACGTCTCAGATGCCAAAGTTCCCTGTGCCATTCTGTTTAATGGGGACACAAGAACGTAGCAGCCATGAAGCCAGCTTCTCTCTTTGCAATTCTAGTATCAGGGATGGAAACAAAGTCCAGAACATAATCCAATGGATTCAACATAGTACAGGTACTGGGGTCAGAAAGCCTTGGTTTACATTCTACCAATTTCACTTACCAGCTGCATAATCTTGGATAAATTGTTCCATTTCTCTGAGCCTAGTTCCTCACTTGTGAAAGGCAGCAATGTACCCAACCAGTAAGGTCGTTATAAAAATGCAATAAAGTATTAATTTGCTTGGGGTAGTGATTGATATAATCTACACTCAATAAATATTAGTTTACCACTATTAATATTACTAACATTATTATTGCTATTGATAGTATTATTATTACTCACAGTCACTGGGAAGAGAAGGGACTCTAGGCAGCTCACAGACACACAACCAGCCCTTGAAGGCCCTCCCACTTTGCTGACCTGCCCCAAGTGGTAGTACCGCTCTGCATGCCCCAAGAACCCCTTTAGGCTGCCCTTAAAGCAGACTGCACACTCTGGGGGCAGCGACTGTCTCACTCATCTTCATAACCCCAAAATTACGTACCTAACACACAACGTTTCATACAATAAATGAACCTCAACTATAATAACCAGATTTTACCCACATGAAAATCTCAAGGTCAAGAAAACTGGAGATATGCCCTAGGCACACCCACCACAGACACATGGTACCATCTGTCTTTGAAGAGAAGCAGGGACCTAGAAAGGAAGGCTGTCGTCTTTTGGCTATTCCCAAGTTCTACAGTCAGGATTCCCAGACGCCCAAGACAGCGACATGGATCCAGGGAGGAACAGGAGGCAGCTGGTCACCTCCCAGACCGAAGATGAGAGGAGAGCCACCCGACTCCCAGGCCATTGCTCCGAACGCTGCCAGGCTGCCGCATACCATGTGCTCCATGCAGATACTGATTTCGCCATCACTGTAGAAAGCACCGTAGAAGCCCACGATGTAGGGGGAGTTGCACTCATGCAGAACCTGCAGCTCCCTTATGATCTGGTTCCGAATTGCAGGTTTGATCTCCAGGTGAATTAGCTGCGGAAAGAAATGTGGGAGGAAGAAAGGCTTTGAAAAGATACAGATGGATGGATGCTTTTTAAAATTCTTATGCTCTGAAAGACAGGAAGAAAGAAAACAGGCAAGTTTTAACAAACAAGTTTCTGCACAACTAAAGCCCTTAGTGCCAACACACCAAGGTAGGTGTTGGCCCTGAAGGAGCAAGTAACCAGAGGAGGGCCAGCTGTGCCTCTGCTCCTGGGAGCTAAGACTGAGAAAGAGGGGCTTACCCCTCCTAAGAACAAAGCTCAGTGGAGGGTTTCCTCCAAAAGGGCTTGTGAGGTTGAGAGATGAGGGGAAAGTGGCCTTGAGGACTTGGTTGAAACTCAAGCATTGTGGGAGTAGAAGGATATGAAGAACTGGATAGGATGACCTAAGCTGCCCAGAGGATTTCTCCATGACCTCAGGAATTGATGTGGCTGAGATTCAGCCAAGGCCTCAGGTGCCACTTTACATCCCCTTAATGTTGTCCCTTGTTGCAGCTGGGGAGACAGAAGACAGACACACGAAATGGCTACCAAGTAAGGCTAAGCTTCTAAAAACAGTTACAGTGAGTGTCAGAGGACATGGAGGCAGTGGCTATCAATGTGGTTGGAGCAGCTGGTGAAAAGCTAGGCAAGAGGTAGGCCTTGAAGTTGGGCACTGTTTGAAAAGAAGGAAGGAACAGCATGAGGAAAAACATGGGGACAGGAATGTAAAACATGGAAGGGTCCAACCTCAATTTGGGGCAGGGAGGCTATGTTCAGAATCAAGGGTCAACAGGAAAGGAAGTCTAGCTCGGACTGCACGCCATAGTGGGAAGTTTAGATATTATCTCCAGGGAGGTGAAGGGGAACCCCCAGCAGGGATGAAACGTAGGGAAACAATCTGAAATCAGTGTTTTATGCATCCCTGCAGTGGACTAAATGAAAACAGCTTTTCTTGCATGTGATAAATGGCAAACAGGCACCTTAGCATTCTTTCCAGAACACATAGGCTAAGGAAGGGTCCCTTGCTATTATTCTCCAGTCTGGGGATGAGGATAAATACACTAACAATTTAGTGTGTTTGTCTATAATCTGATAAATGAGTTCAAAATTCAAACAGAACTCAACAGTTCTGATGAAAAGTCAGGCTTCTTTCCACCCTTGCCCCAGGCCACCAGGCTCTCCCATGAGATAATCCAATCACCTGTTTACCAAGGCAAACTTGATCCAGTCCTCTTTTGTTTGTTAAAGTGGCCTCACCTTTCTGGCCATGACCAGGCCGGATGGCTTGTGGGAGACTTTGAAAACCACACCACCATTGCCAGCACCCAGCTCACTGATCTTCTCAAAGTCATCATCCTTCAGTTCCCCAACCTTCTGCTTCTGGGTGAGAAAGGCCTCAAGGCGCTTCCGCTGCTGCTCGTCAAGCTCCAGCTCCTCCAGCTTCTTCTGCAAGGCCTCCAGGTTGGTCCTATCCCAGAAAGGGGAGCAGAGGTCAATCCGGCCGAAAGAGGAGTCCACCCCGAAGTGCGCTCCTGCTGGGGAGCGCCCCAGCCCTGGGACCAGGGAGAGGGCTGACGCAGGAGGCTGGTGGAGGCGGGGGGNTCTCAAGGCCTTGATTCCCTCAGCTGTAAAAGAGTTAGGTCTCTGTCAATATGCTTAGGAGGAACCGAAGAATACATGAAAACCCAGAATGAGCCACCTTAGTTTGCTTTAAAACCTCAGTTTCAAAAGCCCACTAGTATTGGTTTTATTAAGTTTACACCAAATACAAAATAAAATCTATTTCCTAAAGCCACTGAACTGAAATCAGACCATCAAAACCGGCTCTACACTAAAACACAACCCTCCTTCCCAATGTGATCACGTCAGGAGCTGGGTTAATAAAAATCAATGAATCATATAAAAAGACATACTTAAAGTTTTTATTTTTGTTTAATACATATAAATGTGCATACATCACCTATCTTTTATCATACAGCAAGGCCCTCTCTTTGAGCAGGAGTTCAATGTTAAGAGCCTCAACTTACCTTTCTTTCACAAACCAGAACATAATATCGTCTATCATTTCCAATTCCTGATATAAAGTGGAGCAAAACTGCAGACACCGAGTAGTATCAGAAAAAATTGTATGAGTTTTATGATTTCCTCCAATCTTAATGCTCATCTGATTTGACAGTAATGTTTTCTAGTGACTTGGACTTCCTGAGCTCTTTCCACAGCTTTTAACTAGTGTTCATAGAGAGAACAAGGAAAGAAAACCACTTCATATGAAGTCAAATTTCATCATTTTCTGACATGCAAGTACATTACCTAGTTACAATACCAGCTACATCTGTACAAATGACTCAGGGAACAAACTAGCTCTTGGTAAGCACATAATTCAGTCAGTGGGTGCCAAAGCAAGTGGGCAAGGCAGACAGCAGCCTGCTAGCCGCGCACCCAGCATGCTGTGGACATCACTAAGTGTTTTACAGAGAGAACCGAAAGCATTCATTACTCCTGGGAGCTGGTTCCAAGGAGGGTAGGAAAGTGTGCTTCCACTGTATTTCAGTTGATTTTAGTCCCAAACAAACAACACAGGAGACAAGACAGGCCAGCGTTACACATCAGAATGTTGCCCCTCCCCACTGCCCCCCAGTCCCCCTCAGAAAACAAAAACTATACACACCACTTCTGAGCTTGAAGGGGAGGAACAAGCAGAATCTTCCACTCTTCGTTCATGCTCTAGTCCAAACCTCGAGGAGGCAGGGAGATGGACACCTAATGCCTCCCCAGGGTGTGAGCAAGACCCTACAGTGCTTTACGAATAACAGCACAGGGGCCCAAAGAGGACGCAAGGCTGACTTCACCGACTTTCCTCACAGAACCACTCTGGGGGGTGGGGGTGGGGGTGGGAGGGAAGACTGGAGCTATGGACTGAATTGTGTCCCCCCGGCCAAAGTCAGTTGTTGAAGCCCTAATCCTCAATATACCTACATTTATAGAGAGGACTTTCAGGAGAAATTAAAGTTAAATACAGTCATATGGGTGAAGTCCTAATCAGACAGGAATGGTGGCCTTATAAGAAGAAAGGTTCTTCCCCCACCCCACCTCCAAGCACACACCAACAAAAGGCAGGTGAGAGCAGGAGAGAGGAGGTCGCTGTCTGCAGGCCAGGAAGACTCGCTTCATCAGCACCCAAGCATGCCGGCCTCCTCACCTCCAGCTTCAGGCCTCTGGAACTGTGGGAATATTAATTTCTGAAGTTTAAACCATCTAGTCTATATTTTATTATACAATCCAAGAAGACTAATTCAGCTGGTCAGTACTTTCATCCAGCTAAAAAGCTCAACTCAGTCTCAGAGCTGTCCCCAGGTGTGGGAGCCCAGAACACGTCTGGCTGGGGAAGCACAGTACACCCCCTTTGGTTGCCTCCTTCTCAGGTATCTCCACAAAGGAGTCCATGTTTGACAACATTCAGAACCACGTACTAAATGCAGACAGACCCCACAGCTAACACCAGGATCCAGTTACGGTTGCCTAGAAAGCTCAGCAGTCCATCTGGAAATGCGGGTTCCAAAAGCTTCCGTCCCCCCCACACTCACAGAATGGGCATGAGGGAGAGAGGGAAGGAGGGCTGGATGGAGGGAAAATCACTCTCCTCACAACACTGTGTGCTCTTCTGTTTTACATTTATTAACACGGTTAGCCCGAAATTACAGCAGATAGCAAACTCAAGCACAGACAGGTAAAGTAACTCATCCCAAGTCACACAGCCAGAAAATGACAGAGCCAGCACTCAAAACGAGGCAGAAAGAATCTCATCTAACCATAATTTATTACCACTTCAAAAGTTCAATACTTCCAAGGGAGGCAGCGTGCAAACATGGGTACGATCCTAGTGTCGGACATCTGACATACCAGAGCTCAATCTTACACGAAGATGGTGTATCTCTGCCGTAGGTGCAAGCTTGCCTCCCCTGCACATCAATTCTTACAATCCTTGAGAAGTTGTTAAAAAACTATTTCAGAGAATGAAAGACAAAAAATTTTATCAGAAGGTGAAAGGAAAATCCTGAATCTGAGCATTGCCTGGCAAACAACACTGGCCACAAGAAACCCCGTCCATTTGGCAAAAAGAAGAGAGGGGATGGGGGTGGGGAATATTGACTCTGCTCATTTTCCTGACTGTAGAAATAAGTAATTCTCCCACCTTCGGGCAGAAAAGCTAAATCTGTGGTTCCTCCCTCTTCTATCTCCTATGCTTTACGGCCTAACCACCTCCCTCACCAGCCGAGGAACTGATTCATGCTTTCAGAAGACTGAGACTGTAAGCTGTGGTGGCAAGACTTTCCTAATAACTGGGGGTGGAAGAGCGCTGCCATATTAGCAAGTCGTTAGTACTGAGGAATCCCGGATTCTCATCAACCAGCTGTGTGACCATGTACAGGTCCTTTAACCTTGACACTTCTCAGTTTTCTCTTCTGTAAAATGAAGTGACAACTTCATGCTCAATTGACTAGGGGAGGGTCAAAATAGAAAACTAATGGGAAGAAAAACTGGAATTCTCACACAGTTCCACACATTTGTTAGGATGAGGAAGTAGAGTCAAAGCAGCAACTGCAGGATCTAGAAATTATTGCCTTTCCTTTAACAATTCTTACAACCATTGAGGAGTTTTTTTAAAACTATTCCAGAGAATGAAAGACAAACGATTTTATCAGAAGGTGAAAGGAAAATCCTGGCGTCAACATAGGCTTTCAGAACTCACTGTAAAGAAATCTACCAATAAGTAACAGTATTCAGTACTGCTCCCTCTCGCACAGGGCGTGAGCCATGGCCCAAAGGCTCGTTTCTGCCCTCCCAAGGAGTAAGGCTTCAGGCAAAGGAGATAGGGAGGGAGAGAACCCCTCACCATTCAACCACACCACAAACCTCCAAAACTCAGAGGGCAAGAAACTCTCTCCTTCACAATCCTTAGTTTTAACTGAAATCACCAAAATCAGGACTAGGGATTGAGAAAAGAAACTGAAGCCCAGAACAGTAAGTCTCTGAAACAAACACAGCCCTCTCCAGGGACCAGCTGTGATGTCTGACCCCGTCACGCCGCCCACTACAACACAGAGAAAGTGACACCTGATAACATGAATTGTGCACCATGGCTGTCCAGTAAACACAAGTTCATCAAGATACAATAAGATTATAGGCTGAAAACAGGAACGCAGAGAAAAAACAAGGGTTGTCATTTGTGTTTTGAAAACACCAGAGAGGCACAATGAAGTGGGTGGGGAAAGGATGCTGCTTCAGGCAAGAACATCTCCTTCCCTCTCATCTCACCCATCTGCTAAGCCTAGTTGCACTACCACAACTGGAATCTTTCATTTGTGGCTCAGTGGTTAAAACTGAGAAGCAACATAAAATGTAGCATGAGGAGGGACCTTAAAGACCACCTGATCCAAACCATGCTACAGGTGAGGAAACTGAGGTCCAAAGCACAAGGTCACACAGTTTATTGGTAGCTAGTCTCCCAACAGCTACAGCAAAGCTCCCTTCTGGCTTTACACTGCCACCTCCAACCCTGATGGTCACTGAAATGGGAAGCTGACCTAAAGGATGATGTCCAAAGGATGTGATGTCCAGACAAAGGAATGGGTTTTTCAAACTGCCACACACAGAACAGAAATGGATCACAATTGCATGCTAAATACAGTCAATGGTCCATCACCAATCTGAGCCTTGCTCTAGCCACGGTGGCAGACCCTGCCTCTGCTAGGAGAGTACATAGAGGTAAGAGCAGAGAATGAAAACCAATCACTCTGGTGGATGGAGAGAGGGTCCCAATGCAGGTGGGTGTCCTTACCAGAGAGCCCAGGGAATGAAGTCTCTCTCCCCTGTGGCATTTGGCAAGTAGGAATGCTACTGAGGGAGGGAAGGAAGAGGAAAGGCAAGACAGAAGACCAAGCTAAGAGTACAGCACTCAGAGACGAAGGTTACAACCCCATGATCCACACCTCCTCCCACTCCCCACCTGTGAGACCCTGGGACTGTTACCGCCCTATCTGGTCCTCAGTTTTCACACCTATTTAAAAAAAAGCATATGGGCAGGAAAGCAGGAAGAGGTGAGTCGTCTAGACATCACTGAGGTCCCAGCCTGTCAGTGTGACAGCCAGCTGAGGAAGTGAAGAATAAGGCTGACAAGGTGTTCAGGCTGAAGGACTGGGGAGATTCACAGGCAGGAGGGAAGGGTGAGGAAAAAGAGAAGAACTGGCATCCAGGTTCTCTGCACAGTCAAACCACGGACAGCAGGAGATGTCAGTGGTTACAAAGAGTAGTAAAACAGGAGAGACTGGGCACGAAGGAGGAAGGCAGAGGGGCCACAGGCACAGCTGACTGACTTCCAGACTCCGCCCTAGGCTGGCCCCCTCATGGGAGTGTGCAGACGTGCAGAGCAGGACCAGCCCCAGACAACGTGGTGGACAAGGAGCTCGA